TGTTTTGACTGCCATCCTTACAGCTGGTAACAAAAGAAATGAGCTTTCCTGTGGCTATGGGACCTGGGAGGTTTGAAAAGTAAATCATGGAAGGGTTTCGTGATGAGACTGAAATATGTCATTGATATGCTGAATGCCACATGGGTCTTAAACAAAAGCAAAGTAAACAGAGAGTGTCTCCCCCCTGACCCAGCTCAGGAACTGCCAGATGCCAGCACAGCAGGTTTCATGGTTGGAACTTTTGCTGCTTCCAGAAGGTCAAACTTGTGACCTTGCCTGGACACACACACACACACAGAACACGGTCGTGCACACACACACACATGCACACACATTCACACTCTTTAAAACTTGGGATTATAAGCTTCTGACAGCGTCTGTTGTTTTTCTGCATTGACTAGACCTATGGATGCTTCGACTAAGTTTCTGGGTTTATATGTGATTTGAAAAGTCAGAATTTCCCTTCCATCAGGAGAAGAAGAATGTACCCATGAAAATCATGATAGACAGCACCGAGGTCCTCTTTTAATGATTCACAGGGCTAAATGTTTGCAGGGACATTAGCACTGGAAGGAAACCTGAGACCAAACGCAGTTTTAGAGACGTAAAGTAGTAGAAGGTATAAGTGCTTACACACCCAAACTAAGCAACTGCTTGGTGGCAGGGCACCCATGAAAAACGGTCTTCTTGCTTCTTTTCTTAGCTCATTTTAGCAAAACATGTCTTCTTTTCAGTTTTTCTCAGAGATGGTCTGAAAGACAGTATGAATCATCCCAGTTAGAGAATAATCTCCAAATCAATTATTCTTCCCCTTTGTTTTCTTCATAAATGTTTTGTCAGGTTATGTTTGGTTGGATGGTTTCTGTTTTGGGGTAACCCATCCTGCCTGGACCCATGTTCTATAAGGGTCCTGTGAGGCAAAGGAAAAACAATCCACGATCGGAAAAAATAAATTTTACCTATAGATTTCAGATGATTTTCTTTCTTTCTTTCTTTTTCTACAATAATGCATATTCTCCCGAGGGTCACTGTACCCAAACATTCTATGTTCTTTCCATGAAACAATTTTCTGTGTGTTTTTATTTTTTGAAGACAACCTTGTGGTGAAGCCTATACTTTATACACAAAACAAATGCATCTGAGACAGTAGAAAGAGCATGGATTCCGAAATAAAGATAATCCTGGTTTCAAGTCTTGGGTCTTCCACTTCTTAGCTGTAAGAAACGGAGCAAATAAATTCGTGTTTCTGTTTTCTCGTCAGCATTCATTTGCGAAGTGTGCATCTCATAGTATGGTTGCAAAGGTAAAGTGAAATCATGCACGTCTGGGCCTCACCCATGCAAGCAGTCAGAAGGGGGCAAAACAAAATAATTTAGGCAGTTCATTCCAATTTGTTGGCTTTAGTTCTCTGCCACCATTCTGAGATGCCTCTGGGCTGTGTGTTTTACCCAAGTCATCTGTTCTAAGAAATGGACAAGGAAATGATTTGAAAGGAAAAATATCCAGTGGTGCCTAATGAGAAGCAAAAAATCAAGGGGAAACTCAAGGCCAGGCTTTGGGCATCCACAAAATGACGAGATTATTTTTCCAGGATTATTTCAGTCTTGAGAGAAGATGCATGCACAAGGAACTTCTGAAAAGATGGTAGAGCATCTCCTTTAACCTCTGGTGGACACTACGGTCCTTCAACCTCATGGCTTTAACGTGGGCTGGTCAACTCTGATGATGGCATTCTCTTCCTTGCTCTGCTGTGTTGCAGCTTGAGCAGGTGAGGACAGTGACTGATTTGTGGAGTCTGTGACCAACAGATTGTCCAGCAGCCAGGGGACGGCTATAAACTCTGAGAGCTGTCACCCTCTCCCAAACTGAATGATGGATATGGGTACAAAAGGAGGCAGGTTGTACTTTGCACATCACCAAGTAGATTTGAACATCCAACAGAGAGCTGTTTAATACCTATTTGCCTCATTAAACAAAGTGGATATCTTTTGGAACTAGGTAGATGGTTTTGAGGTTTATCAGGCCAAGAAACCAATCCAAAAAGGTAAAACGATAGCGTTTTTCGATTTTAAAAATTGCTATCTTTAGCTTTTATTTCTCTGGATATTCACTTTCACTTTCCTTAGACTTTGACTGTCTTTCACCATGCAGATGATAGATTGACAATTAATTCCAAAATAATAGTTGAAATTGTTACATGAAAGCCCACTGTTCTGAGCTCCTCACTGAGACAGCTGCTACAGACAAACGTCTCCCTGTTTCTTTTTCATTCTTTCCTTTTTTTTTTTTTTTCTTTTGCTCAGGGATGAGTGATTGTTTCCTTCCACAAATTAAAATGAATCTCAATGTCAGAGCCTGTGTTTTAGCTCTTAGTTTCATTTATTTAGTTCTTTCTTTTTTCCCCCCTCAGATGATCCTCTTCAATGCTATTGGCAATTTTGGTGACTTTTCTTCAATTATGGATTCATGCCATTTAGGATCTTGGTTTTGGGTCCTTTTGTACAACAGCTTTTTAGAGTGGACAAAATGGGAACAAAAGCAAAAAAAAAAAAAAAGGATTATTTGAGAAGTATTTTAATCTTCGCCCCACGCATCTGGAAACTTCTAAGTAAATGTGTTCCCACAAGTATCATAATTTTCTGTGAGAATTTAAATTTTTAACTCCTTGTGATGTGACACTGGCACACCTAGACCTAGACTGTCTCCGAATGGAAACAAAGGATTTTTCTGCCCTCGCTTCATGGAACTGCGTTATCATTAAAGGGCTGAATAACTTCAACCATGTGCAAGGAAGCCATGGCCTGACCCAAGGTCCCATGTCAAAATTCTGAGCCACAGCCATGTCTCGAGGCCCCGAGACCCAGGACTTTGCCTGCATGTTGTTTGTACAGTATATTTTCCCCCCAGAGAACTCCTTCCTTTTGCTGAGTTTGTGAAACAAATTCAGTTAATCTCTTTGGACTTTTATGGTTCCCTGAGAGTGGGGTTCAATTTGGGAGACAGAAATATTAGGAAGTTTTTTTTTCTCCTCTTTGATAGTTCCAAGGTCATTCTGAACAATGCAGATAAACCTTCAAAATGATCCTTTATGTGACTCTTTCCAAATATTACTAAGTGGGAATGAGATGAGTAAAAATATCTAAATAAGTAGAGTCGTCTCTACTTATATACGTACTTACTTTAAAAAAAAATTCTGGAATCACAGAGTTATATCCAACCTACATTGGCAAAGATTTGTTTATACCCAGGGTAAATAAACAAAACAAAATAAAATAAAAACCCTAAGCTGATTAATGGACACTGTATTCTTCTTTCTTTCTTGTTCCTATTTCACTGTAAACAGCATATCCTATGAGGAATCAGAGAAGCAGAGTCAAGTCCAAAGCAAACAATTACCTTTTCTCTCTGTTTATAACAAGTTTCGAAGAACAATTTTTGTTTTGTTTTGTTTTTCATTTAAAAAAAAAACATTAAATAAAAATGAAACCCCTCTTTATTCACCAGAAAATTTTAATGGTAAAAAATAAACCCCTGTCTCACTACCATCATTAATAAGGTCAGAAAGCACCGAGTATCAGCCTGGCGCAGGCCCTTCCTTCCCTCCAGAGTGAGGAATGTTAACTGCATTGTGCTGTAATGAGCCATGCCCAAACTACTGTTTTCTGGTCCACTGTTTATTTGATTTCTTTATTGTAATGAAACTCAGATGGCCGGTGTTTACACTAGCTGTGTGCTCGGAGATCATGCTGGGAACCATTCTAATTAGCTGCAAGTGGATCTCAGAATTAGAATGGAGGAAAGAACAAATTTTTAGTAACGACTTTAAATTGAAGCCCTCATTTATTTTCATTATGGCCAGACCAGAAGCAAGCTAATGTTTCCCAGGTCTTTCCATGTGGGGCGTGTGCTTCTGCTCCGTGGAGGAGGACTCGACTCTTTCAGATGCACTTTGGCAAATGTTGCTCCAGGAAGAGGCATCGGAAGGCCAGACTGGAGTGGGGCGTCCCCGCTGGAATTGTCACAGCTGAGGACGAGTGGACAGGAGCAAGGAGGGAGCTCTGCTCAACGCCCAACTTGCTTCATGGGAGGAATTATTAGTTTTTTTCTCAGCTCTGTGATCTCAAAATGCCCTTTGCTGCCAGGGTAGCCTCAGAAATGAAATCTTTTTTTTTTTTTTTTTGGTTGTTGTTGTTCATAGCGAGGTGACCTGTGAATTCCACATGTTTAGCACATCACAGAGACCACAGTCTAAGAAGTAAACGGCTTGCTCTGGGTTTGTGGTACTGTTTCTTTGGAAGCAACTAATTGGTCAATTACAAGAGATTCTGAACCATCTCCTCATATTTGATGTAGAGGATATCTCTGACACATTCTCTGTAGCACAGAACATTATTTTAATGGTTACAACATGTGGCCAGATGCCTTCCAATGCTTGTTTGGGGATGTAATTCTAGTATGTGGATTGGTAAAACATGATTTCTAAAAGCTGTATTTTCTAAAAGCTTACTGGGGTAATCAGAAGTTGCTCTCTTTAGAGGCATCTACATATACATGTTTTTGTGGATCTATTTTCTTGTCAACCAACTTTGGGGGAGACTTTCATCAGAGTTTAAAAAGTACCATCTAAAATACTTCCTGTGTGTTATATAAAAACTGAATTATCTGTTGCAGATCATGGTGCAGAATTTATAATCTTGTCCTGGAAGAATTTTTTGATTCAATTCTTTAAAATGTGATAATGCTAATAGTCTGACTTTTCTTCCTGCATGAGAGAAAATATTCGCAATTCCTATGTCTGATAAAGGGCTTATATGGAGGAGGATATAGGAAGAACTCTTAGAACTCACCAACTGAAAGACAAACCATCCAATTACAAATGGGCAAACAATCTGAATATTTCTGCAAAGAGAATGCACAAATAGTCAATCAGTGCATGAAAAGACATTCAAGGTCATTAGTTACCAAGGCAATACAAACCAAATCCACAATGAGATACTCACTGGAGTTGCCACCATCAGCATGCAGATGATAATGAGAATGGCTGGAACTCTCATCCTCTGCTGGGGAATGCATATGGTACGGCCACCTTGGGAAATAAGCAGGCAGGTTCTCAGAATGTTAAACACGGAATTATCATATGACTCAGCAATCCCACACCTAGGTATATACCCAAGGGAAATGAAAACATGTTCACACAGAAACTCATACATGAAAGTTTAATAGCCTCAGACACCACAAATGTCTATCAACTGATGAATGGATAATCAACATAGGTTCAATTCCCACAGTGGAATATTCATCAGCAATAAAAGGAATGGAGTTCTGATACATGCTATAGCATACTTGAAAATTTGAAAACATTAAATAAAAGAGAGCAGTTGTGATCATAGTGGGTTTTTTTTTTCTATTTTTCTGAAACATTCAGATAAAACCATAACAGAAGGACAGTGGTTTTGTAGGGCTGGGGAAAGGGTTGGGGAGCTTGGGGTGATGGCAAAAAGGTTTGAAAAAAAATTTTTTTTTGAGTGATATGTGATCTGAAGTTGATTGTGGTAATGGTGGCTCATGTTTGTGAATATATTCACAGCCATTGAACTGTACATTTCAAATAGGTAGATTGCCTGGTACTGTGAATTAGATCTCAAGAAAGTTATAACAAAAAAATAACTGACTTTCTTTGCCTTCAAGAAAAATTATATATTTCTTTATTCCATAAAAGATAATGGGCCTCTGGGAAAGTTCATGTACTGCAACCACGCTGCGACAGCCTTGGCAGTTCCAGGGAAGTGCGGTGTCTTTTCTGTCCTCCATTTTTTTTCTGAGTTTGTCCCTTTGGCTGGAATGTTTCCCTGCTGTCGGAGCATGTTACAAACACCACCATCATTATTTCTTCCAAGAAACCTTCTTTGATGAGTATAGATGGGATTTTGGTTTTTTTTTTTTTTACAGATTTCTTTGTAGCTACCATCTCCTGAATTTTGATCTGGAGAGTTCCTTAGATATTCCATTCAGATGAATCAACTTATAGATGAGATCCCCAAGGCACAGGGAGGAAGCCTGACTTACTCAAAGCCACTCAAGTGCTTGAGACAGACTCAACCCTTCTATTCCAGGTAGACCCTGGAGCCTAAGAATGAAGCATTCCTAACCTCCAGTGAGTGAGCAGGACAACAAGGTCTGTTTTTCTCTTTAATTTTCTTATTATCTACCCATCTCCTCTCTTCGCTACACCTGCCATTCCAGCTTGTCGAGGACCTACAGGCCTTGTTGTGGGGGGAAGGAAGAACCAGGGGTGATTTTGGAAGAGTCAACACACTGAAATGCTGCAGGTCGAGATGGATTTCAACTCTTCAAATCTATGACACACTTCTATTAATAGTAAAGATATGGGCAAGTGAAATGGAGAGTGCTTCAGGCTGTGCTGGGTTGGAATGACCATTTCTATTTGAGACAATGCCAATGGTCTTTAAGAAAGCTTCTCTTTTAGAGCCAAAGATAAAATTTATATGTGATGTAATTTGTGAAAGAGGCCTTAGCAATACAATGTGGTAAGATGTGATAACGATCATATGGAGAAAACACATAGAGCTATACAAATTCGTTTTTAATACAATTCACCACATAGATTTTGAGAAACCAAAGTGAATATGAAGAGGTCTAGGTCTTGGGTCCATAACAATCACGTTGGTCTTACTTCAATCTTCAGAAGTGATGGTGATGTGAAATAAACACCTTCTCTGCCTCATGGCATGGTGGCACACCTCAAAGAAAACCCAAACAATGGAAGTAAATTATCTTGAACCTACAATGCAAAGTTTATAAGAATTATATCCCCATTTTCTCAACTTAGGTTGAAGTTATTCTCCAATTCCTCCTGTGTCTTAGTGCTAAACTAAGTCATGGGGCAGTGACAAAATGGTATCTCTCTCTCTCTCTCTCTCTCTCTCCAAAAGTACTGCTCCTCTTCTCCCTTGGGCTGGGCTGCCTGTTCCAGTGTGATTAGCACATCAGGGAAGGGACTGCTTGTGGTGTGGGGGGTATGAATCAGGTCATCTGGGCTACTCAGATCTGTTCCCTATCAGAGAACTCTGAATAAATCCAACCTTTTCATCTAATTTGGCCTAGGCAAAGTGTTTATCTGATTCAGATAAACTCAAAGAGGAATCTCAGCTTTACTCAAACACTCCATCGATTACTCTTGGCACAGGAAGAAGCCCATGGATAGAAATTCCAATTGACATTTAGGGACAGGATATAACGTGGCAAAAGCAGGTCTTGAGGGAAGACAGTGTGACCATCGTCGGCCTGTGTGCTACAGGAACTCATATAATCATCATAGTTGGCATTTTTGGCAAGGATTCTGGATTTAGATGATTAGATCTGAGCTACAAAAAAAAAAGTCATCTTTTTATTCTTTGAAATTTTGAATTTTGTCTCACTGATTATTGGTAGCAAAAATAAAATCAGGTGTTGTTAATTCTACAGCATTGTGTCTTCTTTTGTAGTTCATCTTAGGTCACAGAAGGCACTTTTTAGTGAATAACTGGTGAAGTCATTGGTTCATCTGCAGATTCCTGAGCTCAGCACTCTGCACCTCTTTCGCCTTCCTCCAATACTGTGTGGTCTCCAGACCACACTGGAATGTTCCTCGTGGCTCTCTTGCTCCTGGAGTGTGTTTCCAGGTTGCCCCTCCCTAGGGCGGTAGAAGGATAGGGACTCGGAATCCCTTGTTAGACCATCTGGTCATCTCCTGGTAGAAGTTCAGAGCACCTCAATGTGATTTACCACAAAAGAGGCATCTGGATATAGACTCAACTATTGTTATGGGGAATCAGATTTCCTTACTCTCTGTGGAGAATCAGATTTCCTTGGAGTCTTTGGAAAGAATAAAATAGATTAAAAAACAGATTTGGGCCATGTTGTAAGAGAATTTTTTTTTCTTTTAAGAAAGGGAAGGTAAAGGAGGTTAATATTGAGAGGAATAAATTTTATGTTGTGAAAATTTGGGATCCTGAGGCAAGACTAAGGAGCCATCTAAGAAACAAAAAAATTTTCTGTAGTTGTGTAAAAGAAAGGGGACCAGGAGGGAAGAATATCTTAGTTGTACCGTATCAGGAATAATCATGGTCCAAAGATTGACAGGGAAAAGATGAAGGAGGGGAACACCCAGAAAGCAAAAACCTAAGTTAGATTATATCTAGAAATGATGGAAAGTTACTCCTAATGCTAAAACCAAGGGTTTAATAAAATAAGCAAAGTTGGAACCATTCTTTAGAGTAGAAGAGCAAATTTGTACCAATTTCAAAAGCCATAGATGGGAGGGGCAAAATGGCACCCTGAAAGCTCTGTTTTGTGAGTCTGAAGATAATGACATTATTAAAATGGGTCAGTGACAATGTCCTTACTGTAAGGGCATATCCTTGGAATTTATGTTCTGAGACTCTAAAGTCAGAAGCCTCAGATTGTCTATCTTTGAACCACATTAGACCCACATAATTGGTTTTGCTAATAATTATTTCAAAAGAATTCATTTTCAAATAAAAAAACTGGATATTTCAAATAAAACATTCAAGCATTCCAGGGGTGGAAATGCAGGCATTTCTGGCCCCATGGCTGTCTGGGGCTGCAGCTACCTGGAGCTGAGAAGGTAAATCACTCTGGGTGGGGCTCGCTCTTACCAGTTAACCATGACCCTACTTGTCCTATTTTCCACTTTAGATCACCATTCTGTTCCTGCAGCCATATGAAATTATGACATCTATTTAACTACTTTTAAAGAAGGTATGGGTAGGATAAGACACATTGAATAGAACTGGCAGGTAAATAACAGCATGGGGCAGACCTGGGTTAGACGCCAGACTGCAGGGAGGATGCATTGGGGTGAAATTAGCCTCCTTGGTCAAGTAAAGATGGGGGCAAATTGTAGGTGAGCAGGAAAGATCCTTGAAGACCCTGTGATCACTATCCCCATAGCTCTCATTGGATGTACTATCACCATATGGAATTCAGAAATGTATGTTTGGCAAAAAGAGATGTGAAGGCCCAAAAAGAAAAGAAAAAAAAATAGGGAAGAAAAAAAAAGGTGTGGAGATGCAGGAATTACAAGGTATAGAAAAGGAATGAGATCAACTTAGAACAGTGGTTGTATTTTTCAATGCCAATTGGATTTTCTTGAAAGAAGTAAGGAGATAGCAAGAGGAAAGAACTCCTAGGGATCCCAGCTTTGAAAAGCATCAGTACAAGAGCTCATTCCAGCTCATTTCAGGGCTCCATTGAGCAAGGGTGCGGATGCTTGAGCATTCTTCCACATGAGAAAGATGCATGGTCAGTGGAATTCCAGAGAAGTAGGTGGAGACCACCGTGGCATGGGGATAGCCAAAGTCTTGGGACTTCTCTGAAATTGAGAAACAAAGAGAGAGAAAAATGGATTGGCAGGAATTTGGAGAGTGGAAAACAAATTTATCATCTTAGACAACTGCAGGAGGGATTTGCACGAGTAAAGTGCGCTTAAGTTCAGTTCAGTATCAAGGTGCCGGAAGGAAAAGGCTCAGATACTGTGCAGAGACCTAAAGGGAGGGTTAGACAGTGAGTTAGGAAAGTGAGCTGCAGGTGATCCCGGGTGTGCAGGGATTTGAGAGAAGGAGATGTCTAAACAAGTAGCCTACAGAGAAAAGCAGGAGATATGCATAGAACATTTTACAGAAAAACTAATTTCCAAATGGGAGATTTCTCCCAATCGAGTTTAACTTTGTAGTTCATAGACTCTGAACTCTCACAGAACATTGAGAGAACAATGAGACTAAAACTGATATTTTTTTTCTCCCTTAAAAATTCTTAGCTTTTTTTTTTCCTTCCTGATAGCAAAATAAATCCACCATGCTCTTCGCCTGGAAGACAGAGAGCATTGTTTTCTCTGGTGTCCTTTGGGTTGTTTCCCAGTGCTCCTCATAGAAATTTCCCTGGTGCACCCTGGTACGCAGCATTTTGAGGCTAATTTGACCTGGGAGATGGAATAGGGGTGAATTTTTAGGTGAAGTATTTTGAGGTATTGGGATCAATAATGCTCTAGTTGTATACGTTGCTTTTACCAAG